GAACAAACATATGAAATGGGCCGAAATGTATAAATGCTATAAAGCGTGGGTCAGTGAAACAATTGTAGCGCGATGCACTACTGGGTCGCGCGCGCGCATCCAATAATGCTTCTCGCAACCACACGTATGCAGATCGGCGAGATGCGAAGGATTGACATCGTGAATCAAGTGAAACAAGTACAGAGGACAACTTTCAAAATACGAGTTTAATGGCCGCCCAAAGTCTCAATAACGTCACCTCCATGTCCACCTAGTAATAAAATTATGTAATATGAAGTGCGAAACAATCAAGAAATAGAGTATATAAATTATAAAATTGTCTCTCAAATACAGTAAAACAAATTTTAGTAAAACAAATTTTATTTTATACCCACAATCAAATCATATTTAGTTCAAATATTTAAAGTCAAAATAACCATTTCACATAAGTGGTTTTGTTATAATAAAAATAATTTGTGATAAATTAATAAATTAATTTACACTCAAAAATGTACAAAATATACACAATTTTTACCTAGTGCAACACTGGTTCGGCGCGCGGCTGATTGAAAAAGTTTAGTACTACTAACTACAGTGTACAGCGTACATGAAAAGATAACTTACTGAATCTTTTAATACTAAATACATATTAATTCAGATGAAAGTTCTATAGAAATTTATTTATATATGGATTATAAACATTTTTGTTTGTGTGTTTTGTGCTATGCATCTTTATACCTATTTTAGAAGATATTTTTATAGAATATTAGAAGTGCAGTAGTATAGGGTCAGTTTCAGACGAATTAAGCATAAATGACATCAATGAAACAAGAAATTTTTCAATGAAACAAGAAATTTAATTTTTAGCACATTCTACAGAGTAAAGAGATGTAAAACAATTTATAAAAATATAATGCTCGTTTGGTGTATGACTTTTTGTCCTTGACTGTTAGTTTGATTTTGAAGGGACAGGCAACTAACGGGGCAGGGAATGTGCGTGCCTGAAAGCTTTTGCACACACCAAAACGCTAGTTCAATTGAGTTTTTAGAGAGGATCAGAAGAAAATTGTTTGCAGACGTTAGGGGTTCTATTTGTGTTTGTTACTATGGGTTACAGTCTTGTTGTGACAGAAAGTCTACACTATAAATATGCCTAAGTTTAAATTGTGTAGTTTGAGGATATAAGATGCAACTTTAAGATGGATATTGGAGAGCTGTTGAAAAATTATGGTCGTTGTATCTATGGTTATAATAAGCTAATATAAATATCTTAAACTATACAATGCTAATTAAAAATTTCTTTATACTGCATTATCAAATTAAATGTTAAAAATTCAAAAATATACATTCATTTTATTTTATTAAAGACTTTCTCACACATACTTTACTCACAGAACAAGACTTGGAAAACACTAGACTAGGGGAATTTCGCTGACATGTGTGTGACCAGCAAGTAGTGATCTTTCGAAGACAATATTGTTGCAGTCAAAATCTTTGATTGTCCAATCAAGCGTGTTGTGGCTGTGTTGATTATTTAATAGTGCACGTTTAAGCTTACCCCGCAAACACATCACACTCATGGTAAAGTCATCCATTCTAATTTTTGGAGTAATCATGTTAAAAATTTTGGTTGATCTTGTATTATGCTTATCAGGTGGGTCAGCCTGACAAATAAGTAGGGTCGGCTTCCTTGTCGAGCATCATTGCCATGTCTGAAGTGGTTTGTAATGGGCCATTGTTAGCCCCAAGCGTTTTGGTCCCTCATTCCTGCCACTCAGCATTGCCTACTGTAAAGTAGAAATTTTTCTAAGACAATAGAGAAACTGACCCTGTCTCACTAAATTCCCCTAAATTCAACCACTTACCATAATAGAAATACTAACAACCAAATAAAGTTTTTTAAATAAAGAATATTTCCTCAAGTTTACGTCTAGCTAACTAATTCGTGGTTTAAGCTCTTATTTTATTTATGATTAAAGGAATGTAAAATAAAACTTTTTGTTTCATTGAAAACTTTTCGTTTCATTGTTCAATGAGTTAGCCACAAAAATGTTCAAATTATGCAGGAGGGTAAAGGACACAATTGCTAGTTAAATGCTTCTTTGTACCCGTTGACTACAATGAACATTTTGCGGAGTTTCTCCAGACGGCTTTTATCGGAGTGCGTGTTATTTACTAGGTTATGCACAAGCCAGGCCAACATTTTGTTTTTGTGTCAGCTGCGCTACCAGGTTGCAGAGTATGATTAACACTAAGAAATTATACACTAAGAAATTATACACTATACAAATTTGCTAATACATAATATCAGAGTCCAATCTAGCTGCAAACGTCAGACACCACAGTTCAGCAGTCAAGTACCGTTTAAGTGAACACCGAAACATGAGGATTAGGTGTCATTTTGTAAATCACTTTATGGAAGGATGATTCAGTAATTGTTGTAGAAAATTACAGTCACTGCCACCTATAGCGTTATGTCATGGGAGATTGGGTCACCTTACGATCATCCTCCATAGTGTACTTGTATAGGAATTTACAAGTACACACGCAAAGGCTAACTGCACGGTAGCAGCAAACTGAACTTATCGCAAGTTACAAAAGATAAGAGAGCTCGATAATTGCAACGTAAGCTACACTGACTACACACACTTAGCATTGCAGATATTATCCTCGTTCTTACATGCCTTACAACATCACTAGATACTTCTCCTTCAAAGGCTATGAAATGTTGACAGCTCTGATAATAGTTCTTTCATTCAAATTTCTGATTGTTTCTGAATAGACTCTGTGAGGACAGATTGTAATGGAAATAAATAGCTGAATTATGTATCGACATTTCTAAGTCATACTCATATTCTGAAATAGTATTAATTACGATCAATATTCACATTAAAAATTTGACGACGAAATTTATTTCAAACAAAATATATAACTGTAAAATAGTTATCTACTGTAAAATAGTTTTTAACGAAATCAGAGCAAATATGAACATAAAACTGACAAAATTTATCAAATAGGGCTCATCTGAAAATTAAGGAATAGCGTGACATGTACAGGAGATAACAAGATTAAAAGAGATAAAAGATATTAATGGGCAGCAAAGGAGTGAAATTTAAACAAAAATATTACTATTTATACGTCACTCAACTAAAAACTGTGTTAGATTGTTCAACTCTGTTTTATCGTTGAGTGTTGGTTTCTTTTCAACTAAAAATCGGGCTTCTTTAATCTTCCTGTTGATGAGTGATGTTCCTCTATCCACGATTTGAAGTTTAAGCTTTGGGGGGCCCAGGTGTGCTGAGGATAACTTTCCCTGTAGTGCTTTGCTAGTAGCTTATCTTCGTACGATTTTGCTGTTGGATTTGCCGCACCACGGTAATGTTCGACGAACCTGCACTTGATTGATCTGTATGTTTCCCCACCATATGCATAGTTCTCGGTGCAATTGTCTACTTCACAAGTGATGTGGTAGACAGTGTTAGTTGTGGTGCATTCTCCATCGGTTAAAGCTGCGCATGTTCTGCAGTTTGATGTTGTGCAGGATTTCTTGTTAAGGGGTCTGGAGTCTGTAAGGAGATCCTTCAGTTTCCCTCCAGGTTTCCCTCCAATTTTGATGGGGAATCCGCTATGTCTGACGGCATCTCTGTATTTGCTACTATTAGCTTCGTTGACATAAGGTAGTTTGAGAATCGCTCCATCTTGGTCTTTGTTCTGCATGTACGTTCTGAATACTGTAATATGTAGGAAGAAGAAAGAATGTCTGATGATGTTCAGGTCATTATTCTTGATTTGATTTGAAATTGATTTGATTTGTAGATATAATTATATTTGTGAGGCTGTCTATCCTTTTAGCTAGACAACTACTATCGCTGAATTTATCTGTGTATATTGTTAGAATGAATTTGTATAATGAAAACATAGATAAAGTATATACTGTACATACAACTAAATCAAGTGATGCAATTGGCAGAGCACAATCAATTCAAGTGTTGCAATTAGCAAATCACAATACATAGTAACGAAAAGAAAAGATAAAGAAAACTTAGATAAAGCTTGTATGTTATAGACTGTATGATACAAAGAAGTTTATCTTTAATGCCTATACTAATCGAGATCTTCTAGATATGAGGCAAGAAACAGACACACTGTTAAATGCTTTTCCAGAATCGATCAGTGATAAAAGTGACTTTTCTCCATTTAACTTCATTCTTTATTAAGGTGAACTAATGCAATGAAACGATAGTGAAACAAGTTTTAATGAAACAAGTTTTAAATTCTATCCTTTATTTACAATAAAATTATATTATGATCCTTGGTATTGGGTCCTCGGGTCCTTGGTATTGTCTTCGGTATATTGTCCATTACCTGCGTTCTGCTTTTATAGTTTCAACATTAGTGAGTTCTAAATAAACAGCTTTAAACCGACTATGTATGAATAAATGAAATACCTGACAATCCGCACTCCAACAACTCCAGCACATGAGTAATTTGTGATAGTATGATGTATGATTCTTAAAAACTTTAAATTAAATTTGGCGTTCACAGGTCCTCGAGATCATGTGATCGCCGTGTGAGGTTTTGTTAATGCGTGTCGCACCTTCAAGCTTAAATTATTCACCTTACTGAGGCAGCGAACCAACGCGGGGCTTTACTTCTATGATATGATATGTTTTGATTGTTATTAATAAATACCAAAATTTAAAACTTGTTTTCCTAATCAAAATCATCATAATGTTATTATTCTTGATTTGATTTGATTTGATTTGATGGTTTAAAAAAATTTAATTTTTGTAGTTATATTACAGCACACGGGACCTAAGCCAAGTGTTTAGAAAATAATTGCATGAAACACAAATGCGTATGTGCACAAACGTACTTATAGATTAAGGATTTTTGATTAACTGTAAGCCGTGTGTCCTCCTTCTGCAATGCATCACAGAGTAAAAAGTAATGCAATATACTTTTTTTATTAGCTGAAAGAATTACCACACTGATGTATTATTTACTAACCAGTTCCAAACAGGATGAACTTGACATGAAATGATGGGTTTCATACTATGACACAGCCCTGGGAAAGTAAGTTTAACTTAATAGACATCAATACATGCACAATGCACATGAAAAGATGCTACAAATTAACTATTTACAGTATACTTGGTGTAGTATTGGTATATATATTTTTACCTATTGTTACCTTTTACCTTCCTTGCTAGTTAATTAGGATTTTGGATACTGGTCCATTCTGATTGCCCTGCTCTGGGCCGTACTTGTGGCTCAAGCAGGTCTGTATATGACTTATTACAGTCAAATGCAAACCTCTCTATACCGTGCCTCTCTACACTTGCACTGGGTACCTTGATATACCGTGCCTCTCTACAGTGGGTACCTTGATATACCGGTCCCCTTCTTTCCCCCAGACTCTTAGTTAATTAGCCCGTTTTGCGCAAGAGTGTGATGTATCATAGCTTTTATCGCATTTGGTGGTGAGTTTGAGTACATATTCCTTCACAATACGACACAATACATGAATATTAGGATCTAATTGGACATAATATAAGATTCTTGACAGGTTATTGAGAGGCTACAGATACTGGGGCCGGGGTTGGGATCATGTGAATTTCTCTAGTCCCTATACCGTACATTTTCCGTTTCCCCCGAGAGGTCCGGTATAAAGAGGTTTCACTGTATTATATCTTTTCCAATCTTCTCCAAATTTATGTTACTGTAACTTTATTACCATCCAGGTGGTATGAATGCTTGTGGATTAGCTTTATCGCAAATAACATATCTCATAGCATCACTAACAAAGAAAAACAACAAATCTTCCATCGTGGAGCTCAATCAGGTAATTGTGATAAACGGAATTAATATAGTTTTTAACTAAAGGAGATTTTACCAACGCCTGAGGAGATTGGTCCTGCCCATAAATGAATTTAAAAATCGCACTTACTGTTTTTGTGTGGAATCTATATAATATAATATCAGACTGGTATTCAACCATGTACATCCCATTGTGGTTCAAATGAATATTCTCACTGTATAATGTATAATGTATATTGTATAATGTATAATGTTCTCAGTTGGTAGAACGGCATGGGGAGGAGGCGGAGAAGCACATTCTTCATACCCTCTTTAGCCAAGTAGAGTTCAGCAGTGATGGCAAGAGCACTGGCAAGGATTTTCATCAGGTTTGTTACTAAATTAAAATTTTAATTTATTGCAGAGTGGACTAGATGTAGAATTATTCTTATCATGAAAATTCAGAGTTTTGCAAACTGAAGATCGCTATTTTTTAGACCCAGATCCTCATACAAGAGGCAAAGAACTTGATGTTGAAGCCCAACTTTATCGGGCTACTATGTTACGCAACGCAAGGTACACTACGCCCTTCCCCCTCTCTCTTTCCTTCACTGGTTAAAGTTTTACGGCTGTCACCTCTAAACGAAGTGAGTATTATTTCTGTTACAAGTTATAATTTATTGTCGGATGTACTGAAGGCAGTCTCTAGCTAAAAGTGACCATATTTTGAACACAGGACAAAGGAAGAGAAGTAATTCAACTAATGATATTAATTTTCTATACATGGATTGACTCTTTATATCCCTCATAATTCTCTCTAATAATCTCTCATACATACATTTAAAGAATAAAAAGCTTTAATATAAAATGATAACATTTACTATCAGATTGTGTTCGCACTCGCCCTCAGTCAATCTCCCGATCAAGAAATCCAGAAGCAAGGTATGTATTTTGATTGACTTTTTTTCCCTCTAACCTATTAATTTAAAAAATAGTATCAGTGTCAAATACTTTGAATGTATCCCACATCCGTCCTCTTTGGTTACCACTGTTATTATAACGGTTGCTATAAGTTTTTATAGTCGCCCGATGAGACTTGAGAGGTACACTGTAGTAGAATAGAAGACGGCAAGTCATTACTTTATAACGGAATATTTGATGAGCTGCAACAGTCTACCTTTCTTACGAACAGTTCCCGATTTAAAACCACGATATTATATTTAAACTTACTCTGACAGTCCTATGTCCGTTTGTGCGATTTGGTGGTTTTTGTTCTGAAAGTATAGAAGTAACTAGCATAATGTTCACTCCTCATACAGTCTTATATGTAACATGTTAGCTGATGGTCACTGGTCAGTATTAACTGCAAGTATGTTATTACATTTAACCTAGACTACCTAGTACTAGTACTTAGCAGAGACTACTTCTGTAGTCTGTATGTGGGCTCCTGGTTTAGATGGTTATATAATGTAATGTCCAGACTTACACACATGACCATTAAATTATATACAATATTACATAATATATAATAGGCCGACCAAGACAAAGCTACTTGTCTATGTTACTGAAGGAAGTTGGGACGAACTCCAAAGAGGAACTGCGAACCCTGTTGCGGGACAGGGATATATGGAGGGGGTTATCTGGCGTAGATTGAACTTTGTTCCGACATAGTAGTAGTAATAGTAGTATACAATATATACAGTACATGGTATATTATATTATCGTATGCCCGAACAAGAGCAGCATGTCCTGCTTCTCATAATGATTTTAATTCTACAAGCTAACTTTAGTTTAGTATAATAGTAGCTAACTTATAGTTTAGTATAATAGCAGTTAATGGTCGTTAGTAAATGTTTCACTGTGTTTACACACCGATACCACACATACATAAACCCTTACACAATACAATACCTATAAAGTAGTAACCGAGGTTCTACTCAGTTTTCAGTTCCGATAGATCATGTGATCATGTGATCAGGTGCTTCACCCTATTGTTGAGATTTGGACAGTATCCAAGGAGCCCGACCAAGTCCGCTGGGTTCACACAGGTTGCGGTAATGTGAACCCTGCTTGGGCTGATCATAGTAGTCCGTGGACTAAGGACTTGTCCGCGGACTGGGTCGGGCTTCTTGGATATTCCTGAGATGTTCACTGTGCGTATGTGTGCAGAGAATGAAAGTAAAAATACTAATAGCACTCATACACCTTAATACACTTGTGAGTTGCTTCTCTCTCCTGAACCACCGAGCAGGTAGTGAGTATTACACTAAAAATAAACACCGCCACGCTACGAGCTTGTTCGAGATCAGTTAGCTGGAATCTGGATTACTATGGCTCTCTGTGGAACCCAACAAAGATATAAGACATTTATAGACCATTATAACCACAAAATCAGCTGATGATCTGAATTACTGGTAGATCTGCAGATGATCAAGTGGAAAAACTCGAACTACTCTCATTTCAAAGAGACGAATAAGTTAAATGGGGGGGGGGGGGGGGGGGGGGGGGCCGGGGGGGGGGGGGGGGGGGGGGCGGGCGGGGGGGGGGGGGGGGGGGGGGGGGGGTGACACGTCCGTCACAAATAAACAATAATACTCATCCCTTGACATTAATGGTAGACTGGGGTTAAAGGGCTTCCATACCATTACATCGTACCTTTACAGTTTACATCGTACAACCACAAAGCTCTACGGTTTATTTTAACATTTCTTCGCATGATGACTCATTGAGTTACCCGGAAATATTCAGTCGAGAAGTGTCGAGCACCACTTCTCGCCTAGAGACTAGAGTACCCCCGGATGAAATAGAGTTTGGATACTGCTTTACCTGACACTAATTTAGCTGTGATCCCTGCCAAATGCACCAAAAAGTATTATGAAATTAAAAGTATCATAACAAGAATAGCAGCTGCAAGTTTTGTTCGGTGCACCATTACTTCGGTCATAAAAACACGTAGCTACTTAGTACAAAGTAAAACAGTGATTCCAAGTTCCAAAGTAACCAAGTCAAAACATCCTGAATGATAACAGTTAATAACATCACATTATAACATCCCCCTATTTAAAATATGAACTCGTCAAACATTGAAATTCAATAAATAATAAATAAACATACGTGCTCAATGCGCGGCATGGCACGCTTAAAATCTATGCATACTGCAGCGCGAAAAACTTTCTATAAAATTAACTTTCATTTTGCTAGTAGAAAAAGATACGTTACAGTAATTTGTCCCACACATGGCGCAAAGTGCCTCACTTGACTCCAAAATTCGAGTCGAACCATAAATTATCGGAAAATTCCAATTTGTCAACGTTCTAAAATCTTAGTACTACTGATACAAATAAATAAATCTGAAATGTAATAATAAAACATCCTCAAAAAACACGTTTCCTTTGTTCAATTCGATTTGGTAGTAAAAATTTATTCACGGTATAAATTAAATAACATACGGTAAATCAGTTTTCAGTCCTGTCTCTTACAACATTAATTCAATAGTTAAAATCGGCAATACATTACAAGTAAAAATATGATGTGAGTCCTGTCTCTTACAACGTTCAGTCTTAAAATTTATAGTGATTCTGTGACATTACAATATAACCTTAAAGGTTATTTCCCTCCTAACTTATCATAACTTAGCCGGTCAGGTGCAGTAACGTGGCGTCTGGGACGTGGTTCATGCTCTACTGCAATACCGTCAGGTTTAGTTTGCTCTTGTTCAACTACTTCAGTACTAGTCTGTCCCAGACTGTGGTCTACACTATCAGGCTTGCCATTATGTAATGCCATTTCTAAACTGTCAGGTTTACCATTATTTAATGCAACTATAGGAGGCTGTACGGGTTTACTCTAACTTTCTACCCGCTTTACCACATGGTCGAGATGCTTTCGGACTAAAGACCCCTGTCCTTCTGCTTCAATAATCACAATCTTTGATCCTTCAAGTGACTGAACGACACCTTCATTCCACTTATTGTGGCGAACATCCCAATAATACACTTTATCTCCGACGTCAAAAGATCTTAAGGGTTGACTCCGGAGTTTCTCTCGCTGTTCAGCAACTTTTTCCTCATATTTAGAATCGTTTGTGCACGGATTCAACAAACTTAACGCAGTTCTAGGTCGACGTCCAAACATAAGAACGGCAGGCTCTATCCTGGTGGTGCTGTGCGGAGTGTTTCGGTACTGAAACAACCATTGTGAGAGTTTGGTTGTGATATCCCCCGGATGATCAGCTGTCATTTTCTTAATAGCACGTTTAAATTGAAGTACCTGATTCTCAGCTTGGCCATTACTACTGGGATGGTAACTGGGAATAGGGACGCACTTGATTCCGTTCTTCGACAGAAACGTTACAAACTCCGTAGAGCGAGATAACTGCGGACCATTATCCATTACACAAACCTTTGGGAGTCCAAAACAGGCAAATAACTCCCTCAATTTCTTAATCAGATTTGCAGCCGTCGTATTTTGCTTCATGTCTTTCACTTCCAACCACTTGGAATACGCACACACGACAATTAACCACATAGAACCCTGGAAGGGACCAGCAAAATCCAAATGCAGTCGTTGCCATGGTTGATCTGGAACGTCCCACGGGCGTGGAAGAGCTTTCTTCGGCAGTGGCTGTACACTTTGGCAACTCTTACACGTCTTAGACACTTTCTCTATCTCAGCATCCATCAGCGGCCACCACATGTACCTCCTGGCCATGTTCTTCATAGCTGATGAACCCATGTGGGTGCTGTGTAATAGCTCCAGAACGTCCGGTCTCATTTTAGTTGGAATGATAACCCGTCCACCCCACATCAAGCATCCTTTATCCACAGAGAGTTCCGTCTGTTTCTCATAATACGGTTTAAAAGCAGCCTCAAAAGAATCTCCTGAAATTGTCTTGTTCTTAACAACTTTCGGTCTTTTAGTCCATCCCTCCAGAGTAAACATTATAACTTTAGCAAGTAACGAATCTGTTCTCGACATCTTAGAGATCAGTGCAGAGTTCAACAACGGATTATCCTCTCCAACAAAGACAGTGTAAATTTCATCTTTACACGTTTCACACTCATTTACACCGTCACAAACTAGACTGTCCGGGTGTGTACTAGCAGGTGTGTCTTTGATTTTCAATGGGAAACGAGAGCATACATCAGCATTTGCATGCTTTCCAGTCGGACGGTATGATATGGTGTAATCATAATTAGCTAGAATCAAAGCCCATCTTTGTAATCGGCTAATCACCATCTCTGGAATACCCTTGTTTTGATGCAGAATATATTGGAGAGGTTTATTGTCCGTCACCAACTGGAAGTGGACCGCGTAAACATACTTGTGGAACTTCTTTAGGGACCAAATAATCGCTAACGCCTCTCTGTCCAATTGAGAATACCTCCTCTCCGCATCAGTCAATGTCCTACTCACAAATTCAATCGGTTTTTCTGTACCATCAGAATACTTATGCGATATCACCCCACCAAGACCAAGTGAACTTGCATCACAATCTACTTTTAGAGGAACAGAAGGATCGTAAAACGCAAGTACTCTCTCAGACGTTAGCATTTCCTTCAATTTGTTGAACGCTTCTTTCTGTTCTTTCCCAAATACCCACTTTGTCTGTGCCGATCTGAGCTGGTTGAGAGGTTCAATGACAGTCGACATGTTACCTGGCGTAGTGCACGGCTCCGAGGAACGAAACCAGCTGTTCTCTCGTTTCGGGAAATGGAGCTTTCACCAGAGTCTCCACTTTTGAGCTGACAGGCTTTATCCCTTGGGCAGACACCACGTGACCCAAGTAAATCACCGAAGGTTGCATGAATTCAGATTTGTCTAATCGGCAGCGAAATCCAGCGTCCTCCAGTCTCTTTATCACCTGTCTGACATTTGACATGTGTTCCTCGTCATTAAATCCCGTTATCAGAATGTCATCCACCCGGCAACAGGTTTGACGAATCCCTGTCAGTACTTCATCGATTGTAGCTTGAAATTGAGCTCCAGCTGAGTTGATGCCAAAAGGAAGGCGTGTCCACATTAGTAAACCAAGCTGAGTATTCAGAGTCGTCAGAGCTTGATCACATTTCCTTAAGAGTAAGCTGTTGTAGGCACTCTTAATATCAATCTTCGAGAACAGTTTTCCTCCAACCATGCCAGCAAAGCATTCATCAACTGTCGGAAGAGGGTAAGTCTTGGTATCTAGTGCAGGATTGAGTGTGGACTTGTAGTCTCCACACACTCTGATCGTTTTATCTGGCTTGGCCACCGGCACAATGGGAGAAGCCCACTCTGAATTGTCAACAGGAACCAGCAGGCCCTCTGCTATCATCTGTTTCAATGTATCTTCTGTTTTCCCCCTAATCGAGAAAGCTGTCACTCTAGCTTTGCAGAACTTCGGCCTAGCTCCTTCTTTCAGGTTTAAACGGGCCTCGTACCCTTTCACAACTCCTACTCCAGGCATGAAAATGGGACTTTTCTTCATCTCTTCTGCAAATTTCTCATGACATTCACTAGTAGATACAGTTGCCGCATTAACCAGCCTACCGAACCACTCTGGCCCGAAAAGTCTCTCGATCCAGTCCCGACCCAGCAAGGTAGGAAAGCAAGAGTCCACCACATGCAAATTCATCTCTCCATGATATGTTCCATTAAATTTGACGGATGTTTTGGCAATCATGCAAACGTTAACTGTTTGACCATTGGCTACACAAAGAGTTTTAACACTATCTATCAACTTGCAATCATTCAAATTTAGCTGTGAAAACTTAGGTTTAGAAATACATGTTAAAGCAGCACCAGTGTCTAATTCAAACTCGACTGGTTTCCCATTTAGTAATAACAAAATCATGGGTTTTCTACTTCGAAAATGACAAACCATATCACGGGATTCACAAACAGAAATTTGATTTTCAGAACAAACTCTACTCGACACAGTCGACATACATTCTACTGTACAATCATAACTTACAGCAGATTCAGCTTCACTCAAACTCGAACTCCCCATGGAGTTGGATGAGTCATTCTCGTCATGAGAATGTTGGAAATCAGGAGCAGAGTTCCCCTTGAGGGGATAGTTGACTGGATCAACAGGTAGATAGATGCAAGGTTCAGGTGACAGATCAGGATTACATATAACTGGAGAATCCTCCGATAAAACATCCACTTTCATCATATACTCATGTTCCTGATCCCCGTAAACATCATCATCATCTGCTTCACCCACATTGTTCTGTTTTGGGCGTTTCCCCTTCAAACAGTTTGCTCTGATATGACCGGTCTGGTGACAGTTTCTACATTTCACTTTGCAATCCGGAGCCTTATGGCCCTTCAATGTACATTTTGAGCAAACCAGTCCTTTATCACCAGGGCGATAACCTTTCATCTGACCTTGTTCCGATTGTCCCCCATAATGGTGTTTTTTATGGACAAAATGAGCAGATGGTGCTGACCCGTAACCTGACATGGCTGAATTAGCTGTCATCGCGTTTTCTTTTGCTATAGCTGCTGTTAGGACTTTTGCAGATGTGTCCAAGTTTGCTTTAGTTAGCAAATAAGATCTGATATTCGAATCTCTCAATCCATACAGAAAACGGTCCTTGACCATACGGTCGTAAAAAGTTCCGAAGTTGCACACATTTGCCTTTTCCTTGACTCGCGACATGTAAAGGCTTAGCCCCTCTCCAGATTCCTGCTTCATCAGGTTAAAACGATACCCTTCTGATACCGCATCTAACGCTGGAGCCAGATTTTCGGTCAGCAGTTTTACAAGATCATTGTATGTTTTCTTGGCAGGTTTGTCCGGTGCACAATATGATTTCAACACCTTGTACCCCATTTGTCCAATGTTCGACAACAACAACGATACTGAGTAACTGTTTTTGGCCTCTTCTTCTGTCAGTTTTTCTTGGACTATGCAACATGAAATTGCTTGGTCCAACCGCTCAAGCCAATCCTCTACGTTGTCCAGTTGCATGGGTTCTATAATCCTCGTCGCCATTTAGTACAAAGTAAAACAGTGATTCCAAGTTCCAAAGTAACCAAGTCAAAACATCCTGAATGATAACAGTTAATAACATCACATTATAACTAAAACCACGTTCATGTTACGTCCACTTTCTATCCAATCTACACTCTACAATAAATCACTAGTAAAGTTACAGAGTACACGGTTTAATAGGCGCTCTTGTTCACACTTGTTATACTTAGCCAACTACTTAGTGTTACACTATGTGTGATTTGGTGTGATTGATCTGGGTAGTAAGTCCTTAGTCACACTTTACACCGCCTCCCTTACACCACCGCTTATATATACACTAGTTAACTACACATCTGGCAACAAATCCCTACCCGGAAACACATACGTCCCACATCTCCCGCTCTGAAAGTTCTGGAACGGTGACAAGTAAAGTGTGCATTTCAAAGAAACGGACATAAGTTAGCTAGTACATTACGGATATTATAAGGTACACTGTTGTAAGGGTGATATATTATATGTTATATCACAAGTTCTGCTGTATGCTAAGGTACATTGTATCACGTACTCGTGTAATACTGTCACACTGGACACACGCAGTTAATTATATAGTGACAGAAGTGAGACGTTATGTCACATAACTGATTATTACTAACAATCTCACGCGTTTCCTCCTCCGCAAACATGACGTCACCTCATACGTCACTCATTTTACATTTACCTTCACTTGATTATGTCTAAATATGTTTTAATCCAGTCAGAAGTTGTAACGTAATACCACATTTTCCAGTAAACACTTTGAGTGATGTTATTTGTTAGCTCGATAACTGATAAGGCGGCTCATTACAGATTAATTATCCCATTACAGATCAATTATCTCCATGATTTATAAATTCAGCTTGTTCAAAGAACTTGTATAAGTAAAAGAATGGTCAGGTATTCGAAGCAGTCCAAATCACCCAAATTATGTTAGCTATCAAAGTCTAATAAAATACATAATGACAGTATTTAACGGGCATAGCGTTAGAATAGTCAAAATTTACACGTAGTATTTACACGTCACTCCACCAAAAGCTGTTCAGTCAGTAAGTATTGTTTGTTATAAACCATAAAAAAGGTTTTATAAACAACCTTATAAACAGGCCTTAAAAAGCAGAGTATTTAATACAATTCATTGCAGCGATCACAGTCCTGGACACTAAGATCTGCAACGTACTGCGACAGTATCTGAAGGACGGAGACACGACCATCAGAGAGCTGCCCGTACACGTAGTTTACTATGCCATCAGTCACGTCCTCAAAGAAAATAACATTCCCGCTGCTGATAAGGATCTGCTTATCGATCATCTGCGTCAAGTCTTCCCCATTGATAACTGTCCCATAATCCTGGTTCCCTTGCTGCATAACTCAACTATCTATAGAAACAGGTGAGTTCTTTGCGAGGTTAAAAGTTTCAGTCATGCTCTCGCTATCTTTATGTTTTATGGTTTCTTCCATAGAATTTGTTATACCGGTGTCTGAGTCTAAAACAAAATGTACATACAGTGCAACTTACCTTTCTTAGATAGTTGTTATACCGCAAGTGACAAGGTTCTTATGATCCAGCTGGCTTACCAAACAAAACAAGAACTCTAACTGTATAATTATCTGCAGTTTGCACTCCACTCCGGCTAACAACAGCCTGGAAACGGACCCCCACAACCTGCCCGAACTCATTAAAGAGTGTGGATATTCTTGCTGTGACAGGTAAATCAATGAGAAATGAGGATTAAATAGATGACATGTTAAATTCTGTCCAAGTTCCAGGTTCCTTAGAATCTTCGATCCTTCAAACTGGGGCAGAGTCGTAAGTAGAGCCACAGTACTAGTTTACAATGAACATTTTTCTGTCGAGAGAGTAGTTGCGGCGCGACGCAGCCACGCGCGGTTTTTCATCACGTGATTAATTACGTTAGAACTTTTCTTTGTGTGATGTACAACTGATAACGTGATCGATGAGATCACAGGTTACTCTCAACGGAAAAATTTCTAGACGCCCTGCTTGTGGGTGAAATGGAAGTGACAGATCTGTCTACTGAGCAGTTGATTAAACTTTCTGAAGTATATTTATGTGAAAATCGTCATTATTCCAACGGGTGTATAGCTCAGTGGTAGAGCAATCGACTGCAGATCGATAGGTCCATGGTTCAACTCCGTGTGCGCCCTTAGCTTTTTGTCAAAGTTTTAATAATCCTGGTTTTAATATAATATTATAACTAGCTTGTCTTCAGTGTTGACGAGTTACAAGGCCTATTTAATGTTATCAAATCAGAGATAACTGCTAGGACTGTTGCCAAAACTCTGGGCATGATGGTTCAAACACCGAAGAATGGCAACGATACCGTGGTACGTGAAAATGTTAACTTAAAAGTGTGTAACAATCAACAAGCTAAATAGTTGATTAAGTTTTTAGTTGTTTTAACAAATAATTTTTTTCAGATAAGTCTACAGAACATTAACTCCTCCCTATCATGGACAGATAAACCAGAACCTCCAGCAAATTCGACCTCTTGGAACATCAAGAATCTAATTTTCGTGCTATCTCAGAAGGTAAAGATTTTTCTGTGTCAATAAAATACTATGAACTTGTTGTTTGTTTGGTGCCGGTAGTTCTAATGACCAATTTACAAAAGAATTTATGTACAAATACTATTTTAATTAATAATATTATTAATTACTCATGAATCCTAGTAGTGTAAGAGTAATTATATTATCAAGAATGGGATGATTTTCGAAGTGAACCTTTAAAAAAAATGCAGGTACCACATTTGGATTGGAGAGAGGTGATTATAGAACTTGATTATCCTGAGTTCTTCGTTCCCGATGTCCAGGGCTTAAACTTCATCCTCGAAGCCTACAATCTTGCGACCACTGAGCCATTCCCAACCACTGCAATCTACCGGTAAGTCTATTTTAAAGTTTAGGGTACTTGCACACTATATATAAATTATAATATCTACATGATATGTTTTAACGGTAATATTGTAATAACTTTGACCATCCCTTCTTTTCGTTCAGAATGTGGGCCAACGTGAAGGGTCAGTTGTCATGGATAAAGCACAGCTTGTCGTCAGAATCCGAATTTTCCTTCATAAAGAATCTCGGAAAACAAGTCGAATTGGAAATTCTGAAGAGTCCTCCAGAGGAAGGCATGCCGGAAGTTCAGATTCGAGAGGTTAGATAAATTGGTTTATTTATTCATTTATTTTAGCTAACTAAAGAGAAAAAACGTATATTTTCATTATAGCATAAAATCATGATATTATAGCAACTCACAAATATGTTTGTATTTGTAAATTATTATTTCACCGTTTCCTTCTAAAACGAGCACACTGATCTGATCTGAGCCAAGGATGATGAATAAGATCGGAAAGGAGGATCCTAGTTTTGCAATCTCCGTTCAAGCAGTCCCTCAGGAAGTTAAGTCTCAATGTTCTGTCTACGGAGGCTGGTTCCCAACAGTCCAAGTGAAGGAACATCATCACATCATCGCGAGTCTGAAAAGGGATGTCACCGTAAAGGAGGGCGTAAGCGATACAGCCAATAGCCCAGACAGAAGCATGGAAAGGATAGTAGTACCCAGCATCCCAGTATTCAGGCGGAATGAAGGTATCAGTACCACGGAACATGCGGTAGGGTTCAGGGGTGAGTGCTGCTGAGGAACCAAAGTCAATCAGTTTGATCTGCTGTGTGGTAGGATTGTAAAGAATGTTCTCGTCCTTGAGGTCTCGATGGTCGACGTTCTGAAGAGTGAGGTAGTAAACAGCGTTGACCAGTTGTCGGATAATGTTAGCCGCTTCTCTGTCATCTATGATCTCCCCATATTGAATGTGTGAGAAGAGGTCTAAAAATCCAGGGTGGTACTCCATCACCAGATACCAGAGGGAGACTTCGTCGCTGAAGTAGACTGAAACTAAAGAGAGGATGTTAGGATGGTTGAGGTTCTTCCACAAGACTATCTCGTTGGGAAGGTAATCTTCTTTCTTGTCACACCAGGTCCTGTTCCGGATCTTATCGTCACATACTGTTTTCACAGCTCTCAGTTTCATGGTAGAAAGTTCACGACAAAGCCAGACTGTTCCATATCCTCCTTCTCCCAGTGGTTTGATAGCTTCGAAGTTCTCCCTCCAATCAGCTTCAGTTCCAATCCGCTTCGCCATATCTGCAGTTGATGTTCTGTTGTAGAAGTTGTTGTTCTGAGGATAGTTGTGTAGCTCGTTGAAAGATATGACTAAATGATAAGTGAACGTAGGGGGAACAAGTACTTATACTGGCTGCTTTGAACAAGACTAAGGACTTATTGCTTGTTGGGATCTGTCTCGCTACGAATATCACGCATATAATCAAAACGTCTCTGGTAGAGTGTCGGATTACTCATCATTCTTATCACGACGTGAATCGTAACATGTGATCCCAACGAGCGGCCGAAAGATTCCAACCTCGTCATTAACCAGGACATGTGATCTTGTGATCAACACTGCAAAGTTTACGGAACCAAGAATATTCTGCAGAGATCGTGACGAGTCAACTAACTGGTCTCAATTCTTGAGAACCCAACATTTACTAGTTAAACAGATTAAATTACTCGACCGTGAGATCATTATAATACTGAGTGGCTCAGTTTAACGTTACAATCACAGCATACCCCCAGTGACAACCGCCATTGACATGTCGAGATAAATTTAATTCTGGGCCACTTCAAAGTATCTAGAAATATACTGTCAGGCGACAGGCACTTATATTCATGAACCTTAAATCCAGTTTTCGGCATAATTTCGAAGTAAACTTCTTGCCCACTAATACCCTATCCCCAGGTTTGGAACTCACTGGATCTGATTGAGACCCTGTTGAATATTGGAGAATGTGGAGAACGAGCGGAAGTAGTGAACATCCTGACTACCCCTGCCAAACTCTGCCCGGATATTCTCATGCTGGGTCTCCTTCAGAGCAAGTGTAACTGGCACACTCTTCAGGTTTGTACGGCTTTCTCATTGCCCTAAATTCAACTTTTCCCCCTCGTCTCACAACAGTTTCTTAGATATGTTCTGTTTTTCACGGCTATGGTAGTGGTACTGTCTTCAAATATATCCCGTAAATAAACAATTTGATTTTCAGGACGACATGATAAGATCCCTGCTACAAACCTTCCTTGGAAACCACCCGAACTCAGCCATCATCCTACATTATTGCTGGTCCGGACCCGGAAACAGACAAGCCACCCTCCAGAAGATCATGTTGGGTGCCATGTCCGACTACTATCTCCATGATCAGACTCACAGCGGACAAGTTGACCAGACGCGACTATCCAGAATCCTGGACGTGGCTCAGGATCTCAAGACCCTGTCCCAGTTGCTCCATTCCCCAAACTTCTTGTTTGTTATCGAGTTAGCGGTACTGGCCTCGAGAAGGGAATATCTCAAACTTGACAAGTGGCTTACTGATAAGCTCATCACTCATCAGGAACCCTTTGTTAGGGTATGTCAACCGAACTGAAGCCAACAAGCGATCGAAATTACGAATTATATAATTAAAATTTGCGATAAGATTTTAGAATCTACGAAAGTTTGCTCATGCACTAGCGGAGAGGAAACAGCCCACACTTCGCGTTTCGTAAGCCTAGCCGCCTGGGGTTTGGCAGGCGGCATATTTTTTGAATAAACTTTTAAAATTATAAAGAAGCTTTATTTCACTTTATAATGTGCGGTACCTCCACAGGCGACTATCACATACCTAACCCGGAAGCTTGATAGCGAGAATCCCAAAAACCCTCACCTCCCTCAAGAAGTGATGCTGAGTGTCCTGCACTGTCTACAGCGAGTCCTGCAGCAGTCCACCGTACCTGACGGCTTTCCCATCTCTCAGGAAGTGAAGGACCACATTCACCACCTGGTTACCACCCACCTCCCTGCTGCCTCCATGATGCCTCCCAATAACTCCATCATGACGAACAGTACTCCCATGATGTCCAACAACTCCTCCATGATGGGTACCACCACCTCCATACTATCAAGCAGTCTGGCTAACACCAACACCCTGCTGCCCAACACCACCGCCAACCAGCTCATTGCCTCCAGCACTGCCAGCAACCCCATGCTACCAAACACCAACTCCATGTCTAGCAACATCCTGGGCACCACCAACATGGGTGCTCTGGGGGGCATGTCTAGTCTTCAGAACAAACTACCACAGCTGATGAGTCAAAACAACACCCCTAACCCGGTAAGTAAGGCTTCTCTCCCTCCCTTTACACACCGGGCAAATTACACGGGGAATTATCAGCTCATTTTTCTAGGACACTGTTTAAATTATCGGTCCTCTCTCTCTCTCTCTGTGCTGTAAAGTAATATGTAGTATTTTGTTTTGTATTATTATATTTGACGGATGGTACCACCCCAGTCTGCCCCGCTGGGCGCCATGACGAACGGTCTGAGCAGTGTGCTCGGAGGAAGCATTTCACAGCTCCAGCAGGTGAACACGACTACCAACTCTGCTGCTGCCAACAACACCACAGTCAACAACAATAACACCAGCAGTAAACACATCCTACAGGTAGGGATTGTTTTGTACTTGACGTTGCTATGGGCCGCCGATCAAGGCATTCATAAGTGATTAAATCACACTGTAATTTGTACGGCAGGAGTTGCTCTTTTCTATCTGTACTTCTATTGCTCTATTGGAGTTACATGTTATTATGAAATGGGATCCATTATTGTTGTACATGAGATACAGGCTCTCCCTTCAGTTGCTGTAATGTTATTTGCCCAACTGTCTGATTGCTCACATTTCAAAGCGTCTCACCACACGTTTTTACCGCTGACTAATCTCTATAGATAAACCATAAATCAGGAATTTCTCAACGTAGCCATTTGGGAATGAATAATTTTTACAGCGCTTTATTGTCTCAGTCCGCAAATTTATCGCCGTCGCGATGCTTGTCTGCAATCTCGAATTGCATTAACCTTGCTCAATATATCAAGTCATGAATATTGAGTTGGAAGTTAGGACCAGGCCAAGGTTTCATGCTCGGTATTTTACTGAACCTTATAAAACTCAGAATATATTCCTCTTATTGCCGATCATCGCTTGTTTACTCCTTACACTTTACAGTAGCCTGACCTTACCTAATAGGCTGACCTCTGACTGCTTAAAAAGATTTTGCTGAAGCCATTAATCTGATTTTGAGCCTGACTGTTTTCTGCTTAATTCTGACTGAGCATTGTCCTGGAGGTGGTATTAATGACGTCATAGTAAAGTGTGTGGCATTACACGTAACCAGTAACCACGCACCTTGTTTAAGTGGAGTGTGAGCCTCGTGTTAATGCCATGTCCTGTCGTTCTATTTGTATTATTGTCTTTTTAAATGCCATATCGGGTATCCTAGTTTGCTCTGTTGCTGTGTTGTAATGTGTGAAGGGAATTGGGAACAATCTAATGTGTAACCAAGTGGCTCGGTAAACAATATCTTACACAATTGTAATAGAATTACCATTTTACTACTGAATTAACATTTCATCTCTGCATGAGAAAAATGGTAATCCTGCAAAACTGTAATTCTGCACTGAACTTACACTCTATGAGATAGTATATGATTTAAAAGATAGTACAGTTTTATGTCCTGATAAGAACATAATCTCAATCCGTATTATGATTGTACTGCAACAAGACATACGGTTATTGTTTTTTTACTTTTCTATTCCGTACAAGTTAGATTTTGATGATTTCATAAATATCGTCTTTTCTGTAGAAATCAAGATCGCATTTTTTTGTAAAATTTAATGTGTGGTTTGAGACGTTACATATTTTGATACCTTAATGTAAAGCATTGGCTGCTCAATTGTTACTTTTATCTTAGACAGCGTTATTGCGTCATCCTTTGAATGTAACTACTCATAAGTTTTTTATCACTTCAACTGTTTCTCACAGATCTGTGACAATGCCTTTATTTCAGCACTATGATCTGTGACAATGCCTTTATTTCAGCACTATGGTCAGCAGTCGTCCAGTCCCCCGATCCCCCCAGACAGCTCCTTCTCAGCCGTAGTGGCTCAGCAACAGAGGAGGACTTCTCTCAGTCAGCCCTCTAACAATATCCTGTCCTCTGGTAAGGAAGAAGGTTATACACAATTTCTTTTGTTTCGTAAACATGTTACTTTATAAAGACTGTTATTTTGTGTGTCCCAGTTTGTCCTTTGTCATGTCTCGTGCTTCTCCGATGCAGATTGCAGATCTTTGTTTACAATGTGTAGAATCAATCAATCATTGTACATTATGTACTGTTGTGTTCTCAGTAGTACCACTTGTGGTCCCTCATTGCACTTTCTGTGTGCTGTGTGTGACAAATTACACTTTATAAATAGGCACTCAGTCTACTGAGATGTTAACCAGATTGCTCAACTCCGTGTTACAATTAAGTACTCGCTACTTCTCGCTCTTAATCCCTTGTTACATGTAGGGTGACGTGGTTATACTATAATATGTCGTATGACATGTGATGACATCACATGACCTACGACACATGGTGATGTACGTGGTGAGGAGAGGCACACATGCGCTGGTTACTAAGTAACGGTTACTAAGGTCCTGGCTTCTAAGTTAGACGCCGTTATATATACGTGTTACGATCCTGTGAGGTGAAACACAACTCAATGTACTCTTTTGTACTGTTGATAAGTCGTGTGGGAGTTTACTTAATTTGAGGATTTTGGTTTTGTTTTATATAATCGTTAGTCAGTGAAGCGAGACGGTCAGAAAAATCTGGAAGACATGGTAATGTTCTCGTTATCGTTACTCCAGAGTTGTTAATATATATTCTTGTCACCAGCTTTTCAATGACTCCGAGAGTTAGGAAGTTGCTCCTAAACGGTTTAAATTACTGAGGCGTTGCCTAAGTTAAAGTTAAAATTTCGCCTCGTCGTGACCCTGTGGGAAATGGCTTGTTCGCTAACACCACGTTTTGTCAACAATTTGTCAACAATTTGTCAACATGAACAGTTTGTCAACCTTTTCTCAACATGAACAGTTTGTCAACCTTTTCTCAACATGAACAGTTTGTCAACCTTTTCTCAACATGAACAGTTTGTCAACCTTTTCTCAACATGAACAATTTGTCAACCTTTTCTCAACAGTTTATTATCTCCACTCACGTCGCTGTAACACTAGTTATCATTACAATATTACATATTGTTAAATACATTCTCAAGAATAAGAAACATATAAAGTATATTCGCGACCACAAATCATGAGCTCAGTACTCAATATATTTCATCAGCTTTTCTCTCTTGATTCGAGCTCACTCACGCCAGCACATTAAAGTTGGGACAACGACCCCTCTCTCTTTCTTTCTCTGAGATCACATTTCTCTCTCTCTCTCTCTCTCTCTCTCTCTCTCTCTCTCTCTCTCTCTCTCTCTCTCTCTCTCTCTCTCTCTCTCTCTCTCTCTCTCTCTCTCTCTCTCTCTCTCTCTCTCTCTCTCTCTCTCTCTCTCTCTCTCTCTCTCTCTCTCTCTCTCTCTCTCTCACTCCTGCTAATCCTGACCTTTCTCTCTAGCTGGGCTCTTTTGTTATGCGGGAAGTTCTACGGAACGTTACACAAACCTGCCCTTCCGTCTTTCCTGTGCTCGGTTACGTGCGTGGTGGCGGTAGTCTGCTTTCGTATTAGTATTACATATTTTGTTACGCAACACGCGGCAGTGGTGTGTATAATTTGTAAAATATTACATAATATGCACATTATATTTTGAGCGGATTGTTATCGTGCTCTTTATTTAAAGGAGCGAGATTACCAGCTGAATACTTGTACAGCTCATACAATCTGGGCAGGACGGTGTAATTGATATTTAACTAGATAATTACAAGGGTCCGTATCCTCCCTATCTCGCGTGTACATGTAAATGTTATACATGGGACCCTTGTTGTCGTTCACCACCAGCAGGGGACAGGATAATTTGAAATATGATCTGTGCTCGCTTTACTCTGTGCTACATGTAGTTCTGCCGTGCCGTGATCTGTGATCGTTTTGCTCTGTGCAATGTTTAGTTTCGTGGTTCTTTCTGACCACCAACCTCTCTCTTTCTGCCCCGCATTAGATATATAATTGTTTGCCGTGTCTATTAGCTCGCCTTACATATTGCTAGTTAGTAATGCAGGAGAGTTAGTGTGTATATTACTACGGCTACTGTAATGTGCATATTACAACGCTACAGTAATGTTCATATTACTACGCTACTGTAATGTGCATATTACTACGCTACTTTAATGTTCATATTACTACGCTACTGTAATGTTCATATTACTACGCTACTGTAATGTGCATATTACTACGCTACCGTAATGTTCATATTACAACGCTACAGTAATGTTCATATTACAACGCTACTGTAATGTTCATATTACTACGCTACTTTAATGTTCATATTACTACGCTACTGTAATGTGCATTATATTACTACGCTACTGTAATGTTCATATTACTACGCTACTGTAATGTGCATATTACTACGCTACCGTAATGTGCATATTACTACGCTACCGTCATGTGTATATTACTACGCTACTGTAATGTGTATATTACTACTGTACACGCTAACAGTTACTCGCTCTCCTGAATTAGTACATGTGAGAGGAGTGAACTCTCTTCTCTCTCTCTTCTCTTCTCTCTTTTTTCCTGCATAATATTAAATATATACACTTCCACTAGCTGGAAGAGCTCACTGTACATTATTGGATATATACACACGAATATATTTGTTGGCTGCTCATTGACACGGCAGTAATGTGCCCTCTCTCTCTCTCTCTCTCTCTGGCTCTCTTTCTCTCTTGGCCTAGTTCCCTGTGTGCTGTCCCCATCTGTTGCCGCTTGGTCAGGAGAGCTATCTCTCTCTCTCTCTCTCTCTCTCTCTCTCTCTCTCTCTCTCTCTCTCTCTCTCTCTCTCTCTCTCTCTCTCTCTCTCTCTCTCTCTCTCTCTCTCTCTCTCTCTCTCTCTCTCTCTCTCTCTCTCTCTCTCTCTCTCTCTCTCTCTCTCTCTCTCTCTCTCTCTCTCTCTCTCGCTCTCTCTTTCTCTGGCTGCTGGCAGTGGCTGCTCTGACTATTATCATTACACCCCATATGGGCACAGTACTCGCTTGACAACGCGCTATAATATTCTCCTGTGAGTATATTCTTTGTAGTTGTCTGCAACTCTCACTCTCACATCTCTCTCTCTCTATCTTTCTAACTCGGCCGTTTAGTAGCATGATTGTAGATCGGGTGTGTAGTTTCGTGTTTCTTTACTCTTCTCCGTTACGAGCTGTGTGACGACTTACAGATTCCGTGTACATGTTTCCTGATCTGCACGACTTGAAGTACTCGTAGTTGGTGGGTCCTTTTTAACTGTGTGTGTACGTATGTAGGTGATGTACGTGTGTACGTGGTGTAAGTAGTGTATGTGGTGTATGTGTGTACGTGTGTACGTGTGTACGTGTGTACGTGGCATGTGTACATGACACGTGGTGTTGGTATGTGCGCACGTTGCCACCTGTTATGACACTTCTTTCTGTATTGTGTTTCCTGCCCTCCTATGTAGTACGTGTTCCTACATTTGTGAAGTTCCGTATACGTTTTAACATCACTGATACTTTGTGTTGCAACTTGTCTCTCGTAATGTATTTGTCAAGTGGTTGTTTGTCGCGGCCGCCGTAGAATGATTATCAACTTTAAACTTTTAAGCTTCTAAGAGCAAAACGCACCGGCTCGTGTAATAAAGTTATTCTCATTTCAGGAATAGGGCCCGGCACGCTAGGCCAACAGAACACGATGTCTACAGGGCTGGGTCAGAGCCTGCAGGGTGGTGTAGGACAGTCACTTATCTCTCAGGGGAACCTGCAGAGCAGTCTACAATCTCACCTCAACCTCGGTGGCACCTCCTCCCCTCAATCCACTCTGGGAGCTGGATCTCAGAACCTCTTCCAGCACAACAAGATGAACATGGGCCACTCTGGATTCGGGAGTAACACTCTCGGGAACTTGGGTCAGAGCAGTTTGTCGTCCCACCTCAACAGCTTGGGTCAAAACAATATGTCCCAGAGTTTGGGGCAGGGTGGGTTTAACAGTCTGGGTCAGCAAGGTATCGGACAACAGGTGTTAGGTCAACAGGTCCTAGGACAACAGGGACTAGGCCAACACAGCATGAACACTTCAAACCCCAACTTTATGGGCAACTTCGACCAAACGTTGTCTAACATCAATCAGAACCATTTCCCTAAAGATATTGAGGACGAGGCAAACTCCTACTTCCAGCAAATAATCATCACAAAATCAATCCCTATCAACACTGCTCTCGACATGTTGAAGAAGTTCGAGAGTTCCTCTGATAAACGAGAAAAGGACGTTTTTAACTGTATGCTTCATGCGCTATTTGAAGAATATAAATTCTTTAACCAATACCCGGAACAGGAACTGAAGATAACAGGAAAACTGTTCGGTGGGATCATTGAGCGTGGACTTGTCACTTACGTTTCTCTAGGCTACGCTCTGAGGATTATCCTTGACTCCCTTCAGTTTCCCCCGACACATAAAATGTACATGTTTGGTATAAACGCTATCGAAGAATTCAAACACAAGCTTAAAGATTACCCGCAGTATTGTCGGTATCTAAAAGAAAAGAATCCTCACTATAAAGACTTTCCGCCAAGACTTCTGGAATATATCGAGCACGGTGAAGAATCTCAGGAACCACCATCAGCCAAGTTCAATCAGCAGCAGCCTCAACAAGGCTTCGGGACGGGTGCTTTACAGCAATCGTCCTTCCAGACAATGTTTGGTAACCAAACGAACTACAATCAGAATAACCAGAATTTGGGGATGTTCGCACAGTCCAACTCTGGTGGGGCCAGTTTGTTCAACCCTGCTCCGCCCTCTTCCTCCCCCCATGCAACACCTCAGATGAATTCCTTTAATCTTCAGAGTATTCTCCACAACCCAGCCTCCAAGGGTACCATTGGTTCATCCCTTGGCAATATAGGATCATCTCTTGGGACAAATAGCTTCAACCTACCACCCTCCTCCTCCCCCAACATCCTGACCCACCAAGCAGTCCCAGTTCAACAGAACGCCGTCATTCCTCATGGCAGATCGACCCCTACTAGAACCGTAACTCCTCAAGGGGGCTGGACTCAGCCAGAACAGGACGACAAAAAGGTTATTTGCAAGACTCATTTATTGATTTCAATGATATACATCTCAAAGTCATTACTTTTGCCCTTGAGTAGATAGTAAACTTGGAGGTCTGGCTGTTCAATAAATGATTATAAGAGTTTGTATTACTTTCAGAGCGTAGAACAGTTGAAAGTAAAACACCAGCCACCGCCAGAAGGAGTTCAAGATAAGATTCTCTTTATCTTTAACAACATCTCCCAGGACAACATACATCAAAAGGTTTAACTTGTTTTACTTACTACTAGATGTTTGTTTTCCTGGTACTGTCAATGAGTCGGAGATAGTTTGTATTTTAATAACATCAACACTTATTTAAAATATTTAAGAATATCTTACTGAATTTAGATACTGTTCGCATAAATTAACAAATCATACAGGCTGAGGAATGGCTAGAAATAGTGGAACAACAGTTCTTCCCGTGGGCAGCTCAGTACCTGATTACAGAGAGAGTGAGTATCGAGCCCAACTTCCATCAGCTCTATCTACAGTTTGTCGAGACACTCAGCCAAAAGGAATACACAGCCCATGTGCTACACGAAACTTACAACAATATTAAGGTGATATATTTTTTGATAACTTCCGGTAAACATTTGATGATCTACCTAAGTTAGAAAGATTTCATAATGTGGTCACTTGAAAACAATTAGTCATGAAACTTCTCTGATGAATGATCGTTTGGATTGATTATTTAATATCCTTACATCCCCAGATTTTGTTAAAATCTCCTACGATGAGCTCAACCAATGCTAGTGAGAAGAGCTACCTGAAGAATTTGGGAGCTTTCTTGGGACTTTACACTTTGGGGAGAAACAAGCCCATCCTACAAATTGTGAGTCATTACAAAAATGCTCTAAAAAATAATAAAAAATAACACCTTGAAGATGATACAGTATTAAGAATAAATTTAAGAAAGGTAATCTCAATATAAAATGACTTGCTCTTTTAACAGGATCTAGATTTGAAAAGCCTGATCTTAGAGTCCATACACAAAGGGCAGCTAGCTGGAGTCCCCAAAGATCAAGAGTTCCTCTTGTTCGCTGTTCCCTTCGTCTGCAATGTGCTCCGTGCTGTAGCTGAAAGTAAGGTCTTCGCTCCACCTAATTCCTGGACAATGGGCCTCCTGGGCCTGCTAGTCGAGATACACAACATTCCCGATATCAAGGTATGTGAGTGTTACACTGTACTTTCATCTTGTCATACAATTTTACTATTTTCGTTCAAAGTTCTAATCACTATTGCTACAGTTTATATTTTCCCACAACGTATATCCCTAACTCAAATAATTTTCTATTCAGCTATCCCTGAAGTTCGAGACAGAGCTGCTTCTCAAGGATTTGAACACGGACATGTCCGCTGTCAAGGTCAAGAACATTCTTCAGTGTGAGAACCTGAAAGAAAAGTACAAAGTAGAGCAGGTGATTAAAAACACTATGATTTGGCAGTGGTCGGATGGATGAATTGTCATTAAATCATCATTTAGATCCGCAACTTTATAATTATTACTTAGCTGTTCATTCCCGTTTGATACAATTTTGCCTGTTATAACATGTTCTCGTTTCAGTTGGTGTCTCTGAGCATACCCAAGTCAGTGAACTCAATAATGGCGCCCCAGTCCTTCACTCCACAGCCACTACCTGCAGGAACTCCGCCCCAGCAACATCCCATCCCTCCCATGATACATCCTCCAATGCCTACAGAAATGGATTACACCAAGATCCGTATCAACAATCAGTTACCCCTATTCCAAAAGAGACCAGAGCTGACACATTGTGTTCAAACTGCTATAGACTCTGCTATCACCAAGATGGGTAGGATCGTGGTTGAGAAGTCTATCAATATGACCCTCACCACTGCTGAAAACATTATAAAGAAGGACTTTGCCTTGGACCCCGAGGAGAGCAAGATGAGAATGGCTGCTCAGTTTATGGTACGCAGTATCGCTGCTGCCGCCGTACTGATTTACGCACGTGACCAACTCAACACTCTTATCAAGGACAACTTGGTGAAGAGCTTCATGCCAAACATCCCCAAAACAATGCCAGGTCTTGACATGCAGCTGATGCAGGAGGTTAATGATGCCGCCAAGTTTGTTGCTGTCGACAATTTGGATTTGGCCTGCATGAGACTGCAAGCTGATGCAGTAAAACAAGCCTTCAAAGAGATTGATAAGCGACTCGAAAAGGTACAAAAATAAGTTTTTTCATCTTTTTACTGACCAGTTGTTTCAGAACGATTCTCTTGCTAAAAAATTTACGTTCCACGCGTATTTTACTATTCTTTTTCACTAGCTAACCTTTAAGTTTTTAACCATAGTTTACTTGTTGCAGGAGTACAGAAAGAGGTTTGAATGTAGACAAGAAGGACAGAGGTTCACTAACACTATTGTTGCATCAATACAAGAACAGCTACCCGAGCAGCTCCGGCTACAACCCGGGGGATGCACCCAACAGCAGTTTAAAGTCTACCAGCAATACGGCAAAAACATTCCTCGTAAGTTGGCAATTATTCGACCCAGCTGTAGCCACATACTCTTGTCTTTCTTATTTTATTTAACCCTCTGTAAATGACCTAATATAAAACTATCCTGTAATAATAATGCTGTATTCCTTAGAAGAACTATGAGAATTAATCGTGGAGATTAAACTTTAATTAAATATGTTTCAGTTAAACATATTTCAGCCTCCCTGCCAATGCCCTCTGTTCTGGCTCCCATATCCTCCATCAGTTCTCAGTACCCACTCCACCCTGGTAGTTTGAACCAGGGCCAGGACAAGTGGGGCGCTCTAGACCAGCCCCAACCTGGTCATGACCTGGCTGACATCGGGGCTACTGGGGACAGAAGCCATAACTTCGACATGAACAGGTTGGATACTTTTTCAGTTTCAGTAATTTTTCATTTTCTCACATTCACCGTGGTTTCTTTTTTGTCGTTCAGCGAGAATGTCAGGAGCGTTACGTTACGTTGCAGACTCTCTGACTGGGTACTTAATAATAGTGAGTTTTCATTGGGCGCAGAGTATGCAATACTCAGTATCATATCCAGATTTAAGTTTTAATTTAAGTTCCTCTAATTTATTTTGTTTCAACTTTTTTTCCCCAGCAGATCCAGTATGATGAACAACAGAATGCAGTCCTTCTTCCAGCAACCTAATGCGGGCGGCTTCGGTGCTTCTGATAGACCTATTGATGAGTTGTCGGTGAGTTAAACATGATGTTTAGAAATGAAAAGGCTGATTTGCCTATACGACTAATAACTATGTAATACATAGTGTGGAAGGGGAGAGGGGGTTGAAAAAGGCATTCACTTCGAGTAAAGTGCGATTTTCATCCGAGTATAGCCTAACCCATGACTACTTTGGTGAATGTAGCAATATTTAGGTTATTATTAAACGTCAATTAAATACTATATTAATATCTACAATTTCATCCTTTTTCAGAGGATGGTAATGTACAAGCAGCAGCAGCAGCAGCAACAACAGCAACAACAACAGCAACAACAACAGCAGCAGCAGCAACAGCAACAGGCTCAGCAGCAACAGGCTCAGCAGCAACAGCAGCAGCAACAACAGCAACAACAACAGCAACAACAACAACAGCAGCAGCAACAGCAACAGGCTCAGCAGCAACAGGCTCAGCAGCAACAGGCTCAGCAACAACAGGCTCAGCAACAACAGGCTCAGCAACAACAGGCTCAGCAACAACAGGCTCAACAACAACAGCAGGCTCAGCAACAGCAGGCTCAGCAACAACAGGCTCAGCAACAGCAGGCTCAGCAACAGCAGCAGCAACCTTTCACCATGCCTAGTGGCCAGCAGCCTGTATCATATCAGAATGATGAACTGCCTGGACTACTTGATGTTCTGTACGCCAAGATAGAAACCCTCATACCTCAGTTCCCCGTTACTTCATACCTTCGTCCAATTCTTGACAAGATCTTGAAGACGATCCAGTCCGCCAAGTACAACATTTCAGACAGTATCCGTCTCATTGGATACAGTGTTGAAGGTACAGTTTAAATTTTATTTAGTGACATGTGATGTGATGTTGAGTGACATTTGTTTAATTAGCCTACCTTCAGACAACTTGTAGCTGTATATAGTTGCTAAAATATAGTTGGTAAAATAAAATCTAATTTGACGGAATTGTACACTGCAGGTATTCTGGAGTGCCATAGACCGGATGTGATGGAAAAGGAGGCGGAAAAAGCAAAGATTCTGTGCGAGGCACAGCTCATTATACTGAAGTACTTAGCTCAATCTAATGTGTTCGGACCCCAAGTGCTACAAAAACATACAACCAAGTGAGTAAATTGTATTTTTAAACATGCAATCATAATATAACTACAATATGGAATATCATTTCGGCTGCCATTCGACGATAAATTAACTAAGATTAAATCCTTAAAGTATAATTTTTCTCATTTCACTGAAAAACTGTTGACACTAAAAGTTAAAATAAGTATTTTAAAATATCGTGCATTATTCACTGAGATAAAACTCAACAGTTCATTTGCAACATGTGACAATTCCAATGTCAGCAAACCAGTTTGGATGTTGTCCGCAATGGCCGTGACACCCTATGTAACTGCTGCCGAAATAAGCCTGCTTGATGTAGTTTGAGGCAGCTGAGTAAGTTGACAACGCCTTAATGTGTCCCTCAATTCTTGTGAATCCGACTGGGCAATCCCCGTTAGCCATGATGCAATAAGAACCAGCGGACCAGGTCTTTCCCACACTCTCAACTTTGGTTTCCAAGATCTGCATGTTCGAGCTTAGATCCGTTCCCGCGCTTTCCAGTTCAGCCACTTGCCCTCCAATCTTTTCTGTGGCTGTTTCCAAAGCCTCCACTTTCTGGGTCAGGTTCTGAAGATTCGAACTGAGATCCGTCCCCTTCCCATCCAACTCTTCTACTTTTCCTCCAATCATCTCCAGACTGGCTTGAATTTCTCCCTGTTCCTCATTCAGCATCTCAACCTCCTCCGCAAACTTTTCCTCTGAAGCAGCAAGTTTCTCCTTCATCTGCTGGATAGTCTTCTCAGCCAGTTCCAACGAGTTCATCACCTTCTCCATCTTATGGGTCTGCTGCTCCGCCAATGCTGTTAGGGAGATTGTATTCTTAATGGATTCCATCAGAAGATCTCTCAGTTCTTCTACCGATACTGCGGACCCTCCTTTCTTACCAGCCGCTAACGTCACCATGACTACCATCACCAACAGAGTTGTATATTTCAGAACGCCCATTTGCCTGAGCAAGTGTACAAATTATCACGTGCAAAAATTGATATTTTACATCTACAGTTTAGGAAACTATAATTAAATAAAACATAAATATCTGAAAATCCGTAAAAAAGGAAATTGCTCAAAGATGTTTTTGTTACTAGTTACTTGCAGAAAGGATTTACTAAGTTAAAAATTTACTAAGTTGCAAATGTGTCACATAGGTAAGTCACGGTGCACGGTTGCCTCACTTCAAAGACAAAGAGGTTTTAAGTTATCTTGCCCTCACCAAGACACGTCAGTCACGGAATTACTGAAAGTAATTATGCTGTTTCAAATTATGAAAGGTTCAATTATTATTTGTTCTATCGACAAAAGTTGTTGACTTTCGCCCTAGCTGCCCCATCGAGCTATGTCAGTAAATGCTGCTGGTGCCAGTTATTTAATGTGGAACCCACTCTACTCCGCTGAAACAGAAGCAACATTTAAGTGCAGCGGGTGCGGGATCGCACCCGTAGCCGTTGGCCACACATATTCACACTTTGTGCACATATTCACACACATATTCCGCACTTTTTTTGCACCGATCCGAACTTTTAGACTTATTTTGCACTGACATGTTGCCTCTGCTTTGAAAGGTTCGTCAGTCCCAGACTCTTAGGACGGCACCTTCTGGAACCTATCTAACTACATATAAGCCAGCTCCAGACTCTGGAGTCCAGAGCTATCATCAATAGGATTAGAACGAAAAACTTACTAATCCTACTCTACTCTCAAGGCGTACTCAAAACGTGAAAAAACAAATATAAGTTTAGTACTAAATTGTAAATGATATGGTTTATTAAGTATAGCTGTGGTCAGTTTACAGTTACTACCGCTCTCAATCCTCATCAGATGAACATTTCACTTGTGGTAGTGCAATTGTATCATATTCTAGCGAAAACTTTATAGCTCTCCTTCAAAGTTTTATCGGTGGTGTTGGGTTTTTACTGGTTTTGTACCGGTAAACTCTTTATAAATTGTACGTCTTTGCTCTTTGTGTTTCGGAGTCAGTAGAGACTTTCCCTCATCGCACCATGACCAATACCACTAAATACTATTATAGGGCTACTAGGGCGGAGTTTGTTGACGTACCACCACTATTGCGCAACAACTAATTGTATCCATTCCATTGGTCTCGTAGTGATGAGGAACAGTCTACACTAGCTTCAAAAGTTTGAGCTGTAAGATTAAACGATTGAGCATTTCGTCAAATTCAGCCCTCGGCGCAAATTCTTCAAAATTGGAGAGAAAGAATTCTGTGCCAACTCGTGTCGCTCATTAGACTAGCAAATAATCGCCACCCTCGAGCCGCATTATTTGCCAAATAAGCCGCACACTTGCCGCACATTTAGTAATTTTAGGCAAAAGTAGGGGAAAAAGCACGGTAACATCAAAAGTACCAGTAATACGAGCCGCTGAGAGAAATCCTTATATTAGCGAACAGTAATTCGTCTTAAGTATAACCCATATGATATAATGATGGTTCCAAGCAAAAGTTTTTTACTGTAATATGAAATCCCTGAAATTCCCAATATTGACAAGAGTTTGCAATATGACTTTACAGTTAAGTATACACTTCACAAATTAATTGAACAAAATTGAAATCATCCTGGTTTGACTTGATTGTAGAGTCTCATCAACTTCTTGCAATTGAGGTAATGCAGTACAAGTCCCTCCCTGTTGTACAGATTCCACGAAGCTTGCCATCCGTGATTTGTTTGAACGTTAAGCTTCGTCGGCTCTATTCCCAGCTTTTCTACCAGTGAGCCAACATAAATATCCTCAACCTGGGGTGCATATTATTATTATTATGTTATTATGATTCATATTGTACGGCCTGTGGAGAAACTCTTAAAGCTCACAAATATGTTTGTTGTTTTCGTCAAATGTTAAAATCTAAATGTTATAAAACCTGAGCCGGGGGTGGTTCACTGTGTAGAGATAATATCTGTTTCATTAGCGACCTGGTCAGGAAATATCCTCCGCCAGCACAGAAATGGTCCGGTACCTGCACCATATTTGTTAGAATGTCTTCGTTATTGTCGTGAAGTCAGTTTGTTGCTGTTTTGTCTCATAACAAAGCTGTATTATTTCCAAAAAATCTCTATAGAGATAAATGAAGCGAAACAAATTAGCAATTTCCCGAAAATGTCTGACCTGAAAGTCTTTACTGTAAAGGTGTTTGAATTGTTGTCTCTTCTTAACATTGGCTTTCTTCCCCGGAAACCTCTTCCCTCCTCCATAAAAATCATGGCCCAAATCTACTGACTGGAAAGTCTGCATTATATTTTCTACATTGACAAAGGAGTCGTCATCTGTCTTGAGAATGAGATTGAAGGAGAGGTTCCACACTTCGAGAATATATTGGAAACCCCACATGACTTTGGTGGATAGTTTGCCGTAAGAATCAGGCTCCGGATAACGCACAATGTCTCTGAAAAGTTGTTCTTCTTTTGTAATATTTCGTTCTAAAGTTTCGTTCACCGTCTGACCGATCAAAAAGAAATGTTTGTAGTCTCTCCTCCACGGTTCAATGGAGAGATAACTGGACCGGACACATTGCCGTCGTATCTCGTGCTTCTCGTCAGGCCCAGATAATATCATGATAAGAAGTTTAGGTATGGCTAACGTTCCATTAGCTGCATTCTGCGTGATACGACTTGATCCTTGAGGTTTCAAATTTGAAATGTCGGTGAAATTTATAAGTTTCTTGCTATCTTGTTCTTCCAAAAAACCATTGTCAATGGAGTTACCAACTAATTTCTGATCTTTGCTGCTTTCTTGCACAATGTTTTCCGTGATTTTCTTGTCCGGTTTTGTTACGTAGAGTTCAAAGACGTTAAGGAAGTTGTTAATGTTATTGATGGTGTTGTTCTTGAGCACTGAGATGGTAATTATAACGATTAGGACAACTGTCAATAAAATGGACTTGTTTAGTGCTGTTAGTTTTATCCGATGGACTTTCATGACGGCAAATGATGAAAAATGAGGGAGATAACAACACAATAAGTACAATAGAAAATGCGGAACCGTGTAACAAGTCATCACACCTGAACCCAGAGTCTTAGTACTACCATCTGTCATAAAATAGGAAATCGGACCCCTTTTTCAATCGCCATGTGATTACTTTGCACTATCCAATGTGGGCACATCTTCTACTGCAATAAGTTTAAATAGGGATTGTAGCCCGAATATAGAATGATAAATGGGATAAACTTTACTAATCACTGTGTTCCAGGGCTGTTCAGGACGCTAAGGACGAGATAAAGTACAACGACCACGCCATAGATCTGCTGATAAAACACAACTTGATAATCATGAAGGAGTTTGCCACCCATCTGGCTCACATCCTGCACAAAGAGATAACATCACCCCACTATCCGCATCACATGCTCATCAACAACCCTCTCTTCAAGATCCAGATCAACCTCGGTGTCAACATCTGTGAGTCTTCCGTTACGCGATCACCGTTACATTTTTGTTCTAACAGTTACTAGTTTACAATAAATGCAGAAATTATCTATTATATACCGTAATCATGATAAAAACAATTTAAGATAGTTGATAAATCAGACTCTTCTCTACTTTTTGAAGGAATATAGAAGTAAAACTTAATTGTACTAGAGCGGTAGTATAGTACTAGAGCGGTAGTATAGTGCTCCTTCACATTGATATATAATTTTACTAAGTAGTAAATTCCATCGTACCAGGTAACAAAGTGAAAGCAGGAGACTCGATGGTAAGAGAAGAAGATGTGAAGCAGCTAAAAGACGTTCTCAGGTTCTTTGTACACCGCACTAATGAGGCCGGCAGAGAGGACGATCCCAAACACAGAGAAGAGGTATTGTAACATAGTTCAAACATATCGCCAGAACACTAAGGAATGATATGGAAACTTGTTTTAATTATATATTATAATTATTATACCTGTGCTTACTGCGTAGTGGTTCCGGCGATATAGACTCCATAATACGTAACACGGGGGTTTATCCATTTTAATAGTTATTATCATAATTACAGTGTTCGTTTGTTTGTTGTTTTGTTATTTTCTATGGATGACAACTACATTTGTGAAAGTGATTCCAGATTGCCCCTGCCTTGATCAAAAATCTAGAAAAGAAAAAACTATTTTGAACGATTCTATTTTATATCCATTTATTGTTTATTATTTTATTTATTATTCATTTTATCTCTAAACAAATATTTTGAACGATTCTATTTTATGTTCATTTATTGCTGTACTCTGTACAATTTGAAAAGTATTTAATACAAAAAATAAACTTTATCAAGGTCTCATTGGGTTCCAATTTACAAAATCCGCGTCTTATATTGGTTGATTTAATATACGGCGCCCTGAACTCTTAAAGCATAAGCCCTTTTTGTCGATTGAGGAGTTATCTTGTCGAGAACTGGAAGTTCGTTTATTTTCAAATAAAATCTTAGTGGTGGAGAAGAGCTGATATTGGTCGAGTCTGCCTACGATTGGTTAACAACAATTCTAGCTGACACGAACGATTAAAAGTCAAACAGAGCCGATGCAGTTTTAAGTACGAATTTAGAGTGATTGTCTAGACAGATTGGTGGGGACCTCTCTGTGCTGCCTGGATTCGCATGCAGCCTGTCACGAGACTGGTCACCCGGTTAGCTTTCATTGGCCATGTGACATTTGATTTCCACGTCAAATGTTTACTGGCAGAATCATTCCGCATGATCGGAAACTCGGGATTGAGGTTAAATGTAGGTGCACAGATAGCAAGGCTTCTGACGAAGCTCAGACCTCGTTACTTTCAAACACTCCCACTCATTTATTTGACACACTCACAGTACCAAATCATGTTTGTATAAAAACTGAATATATGTTTTAACCAATGTCGACCGAAAATGTATGAGTTTAGCTACGCCTACATGATGTATGAGTTTAGCTACACGGGCATCGTTATCATGTCAATGAGAGTGGACTTGTCCCGGTAGTCGGTACGGTCATGATACTAGATCTCTTGCCCGCGCCGTCACACCACTGGTTATTTATTGCTGTACTCTGTAAAAGATTTGAAAAGTATTTAGTTAAAAATATTTTACATTAATTAAAGTAAGCGTTGACCGGCAGACCCTGCTCTTCAGCTGCCCCCCCCCCCCCCCCCCCCCCCCCCCCAAAAGGTACATACTGTCATAACCGTCGCTTGTAAGAATCGTCGGCTTCCTGTAACATTTGGCCACTAACTTGGTAGCCATGGTAACCATGTGGCTTTTAGAAGTACCCAAGAAAAATAAATATGAAATTAAACAGTACAGCCAGTTACAACCAGTAATAGCCAGTAATTGAGCGTATTTTCAGATGACAGCGAGCGTGAAGATGATAATCCAGCAGTGGATAATGATCTGCCAGAAACCAGGAGAAAACCACGAACAGCAGGTGGTTCAGTTCTTCACCCATCTCCAGCAGCGCAGTGAGGAGACCATCACCCTGCTCTTCAAGATATACGCCGAGTACATTGCTGAGGTCAACTTTACCAACTACCTCCAGAACAAGGTATTTTTAAATCATCTGAGAATTCTGAGCGAGTTTTAATACACTCGAATAGATTTTGTACCCAATTAAACGTCATATTGTTACTTTAATGTATTCACTTTGCTATACTAGTTAAGCAGGGATAATGCAAATTATTTTTAATGATGGACCAAAAAGTTCGATATTATAGCTTGACCGCTTGATCTATGATATGAATCAATTATTAAACCCAATTTTCCTCCAGGGTTACGTATACAAAATGCGAGAGGAGATCTACAACTTCGTTGACATTTTCGTCAAGTTAGTCTACGTGATGATGAAGTTTGCTGTGGTCGAACAGAACCGCCTGAAGCTCCTGAAAACCGTTCTGATCACCGTCAAGGGAGTTCTACAGAAGGACCACGACAGAAGACAAGAACAGAAGACACAGTTCCTGGTCCTACCATACCACAGATTCTTTGCAATCCTGTTCCAGGAAGTGACTGCTGAACCGATGCCTTATGAAAAACTGCTTGCAATTCTGAAGATATTCTGGTAAGTCGATTTGAGGATTGGTTCATACACAGCTCATTTGGTCGTTTTTCTACTTTCCGCTGTCCTCATACTTTTTCGTTGTTCGCCATAAAAATTCGGGAAGTTGGAATCTAGCCTGTTTCTTAGAATAGTCAAGGTTTGTCCTGTAGTTGAGTACTGCTGTAGTGGCTTTCAGTTTTTAAATATCAGAGTTCTTCTGTCCAAGAAGCATATTCTGGAGTTCGGTTTTAGTATGCCAGAGATCAGATAATTTGATACATTTTTTGGCAACATTTCCTTTTCAGCTCAGTGTACCATCACCTTCAGCCGAGTTACCTGCCTGGTTTCACTTACGCCTGGTTAGAGCTCATCTCCCAGAGACAGTTCCTAAACAAAATGCTGACCACGGAGAACAAAGCCCAGCCTGGACAGGGCTGGCCCCTCTACCAGCAGCTTCTCATTGATCTCTTTAAGTTCCTCTACCCCTTCCTGCGAAACGCGGAACTGATCTTCAAACAAGAGACACTGTACAAAGGAACACTGAGGTGTTTGCTGGTGCTGCTGCACGACTTCCCAGAGTTCCTCTGTGATTATCACTTCCCCTTCTGTGACGTCATTCCCCCTGGCTGTGTGCAACTCAGAAACATCATCCTCAGCGCTTTCCCTAGCACCAAGAGTCTTCCTGATCCGTTCAGCAAGGATCTCAAGGTTGGTTTGCAACTTTTCCTTGTATTTAGGTGACATCATTAAGTTAAATCTGCTTATTTATAGTTTGAATGACGTTCCTTGACTCAAAGTTTCCAAGAACTTTTGCGCGGTTTCTTTTAAGGCTTGTGTGTTCATTTTGTACAATTATTTATTTCTAAGAATGTTGTTTCGTGGCAGGTGGATCAGCTGGAAAGCATCACAGAATCTCCGCGAATGAGTTACGATTACACGGCGGCTATACCAGCCACATTCAAGAAAGACCTGGACTCTTATCTGAACAGCCGGACTCCAGTTACCTTCCTGGTTGAACTCCGCAAGCATTTGAAGGCTCCTCATGAGGACCTTTCTAGAGTTGTCGGCCAGGGAGAACCGGTAAATCTAGTAAGAATCTTTTTCATTTTCATTTTGTTCTCAAATTCCATCCAATTAAATTCGCTCCTTCATGGAAACTGCCATGTTATTAGTATGATTTATGACGCAATTTAAATCATCATAAGATTTAAGCAACTGTTATGCGATACGTGGGCAGTAGGCACTGCTATTGCCTATTAGATCACGACATGACCTTGGTTTTCCCCTTAAGTCGTTAATTAGAATATGATCATTTGATCAATGACTAATGAGTAATGACCACGATCATCATTCATCACTGTCCGACCATTTTGATCATGGGCCATGGTCGAATCATAAGAAATTATAATTTAAAAACTGTACTAATCTCAAACCTCCCAGTAAACATAATGTTACTGCTAAGTGCTAAACCTTTAACTCGCGTATTACAGATGACAAAGTTGGAGACTGGAAGCAAATACAACATTCCCCTGATGAACAGTCTGGTGCTGTATGTGGGAGTTAAAGCTATCAACCTCATGCACTCCAACCGGCACACCCCGACTCAGACCACTATTGCTCAGGGTGCTCACATGGATATATTCCAGAACCTGGCTGTGGATCTGGATAATGAGGGTACTTGAATCATTGTTTATTAAATTGTTAGCGATTTCAATCTTCCTATCCTGCAACATCTCCTGTTAAGATGACCTTAATTCTGTTTACCAAACATCTCTCTTGTCCAGGTCGGTATCTGTTCCTGAACGCGATCTGTAACCAGCTCCGTTACCCCAACACTCACACCCACTACTTCTCCTGCACTCTCCTCTACCTGTTCGCCGAGGGAAACAGCGAGAAGCTTCGAGAACAAATCACCAGGTGCGTGTATATGTCGCAATCCTGCTTCTTTTCAAAGGTTTCATACAAGTGATCCAATAATACAGCTCACAGGTTGACGTAAACAGGATGGAACAGTGTTGGAACAGTGTTTACTGTTTACTAAATACAGTGTTTACTGTTTACTAAATACTAAATTGACGTCACTCAGGATTCTGTTGGAAAGGCTGTGTGCAAACCGTCCGCATCCTTGGGGTCTGCTGATCACCTTCATAGAGCTGATAAAGAACCACGACTACCACTTCTGGGATCACGACTTTGTCACGTGTGCTCCTGAGATAGAGAAGTTAGTTGACAATTTCGGAATTTTATAAACTGTGTAACAACTTGGATCGTTGTTAAACAGTAAGAAGTTCGTTTCATTTACATATAAAAGGAGTTGATCATTTATGGGGATTAAATTATAACCTTGCATTATTTTTCAGCTTGTTCAAGTCTGTGTTCAGCAACCTAGCCAGCAAAACCAACCCGAGTTTAAACAGCCGAGAGGAGGGAGAATAGAGTGTACATAAATTTGTGACGTCACGTTTCAAGGTGTGACGTCCGGGGTCAAGATGTGACGTCACATATTGAAGTTGTGACGTCACGTGGTCGAGATGTGACGTCACTTGGTCGAAGTATGACGTCACGTTGTCAAGAAGTGACGACAAGTGTTCATGTGTAACGTCGCGCGTTCATGTGTGGCATCATTTCACGTTTCAGTGAATCCATTGGAAATCATTGTTCCTTCTGTCGGTGTATCCTGAAAGATCGGACACCAACTACCAAAATCTCAGTTACTTAACTCACCCCTCCCCCCTCCCCCTCTCCCATCTCCCATTCCCCCAGATTTTGGGCTCTCTCCAGGGCCTGCCTGGCCCTGTGTGTTTGCCTCCTTCCCGCCTCTACCCTAGATTTACCATTTTTTACCTACGTTCCATTTCCCTTTTATTTACCAAATACCTTGTCTTTTCAGTCCAGTATTATGGGTTTGATATTTAATTTAGCGACGAAGAGTTGAGTATTGATAGTGATGTTGTATCTAGATGCGTGGAGCGTTAAGAGTGACCTTTGTATCCTGATAAATTTGACGAACTTTTTGTCAGGTCAACAAGCCTCGTTACAGCGCAGTGCTAGTGGCCTCTGTCACAATTCGTCACAATTTATTTTCCTGATTGTATTGACAAAGTATAGTTTGAGATTGTCTGAAAAAGTAGCACATTGCAATTCCATGCTCCGTTGATCAAACTATTTCGGTAACCATGATCGCTAATAATAATATGGGACAACAAAAGCGAACACTGCTTGCGCTTTCTAGGTCTTGGGTACTTTCTTAAGAATAAGTAAATTAGACATGAGGCCACTTTGAGCACTGTGATTATGTAACTTCATTTTGTGTCTTTTCACACCATTCAGAATGGAAGTTTTAATTTACTTTTTTTTTCATTTGTAGTGTACCGTAATTCTGGTAATTAAAACTCATTAAAAGCTCTCTTTTGCCAATAACCAATAATACTCGTGTCATATCTGGCTACGGTTCGTTACTATGGTGACCGCACGCTACTCACTGGAAATGTAATACTTTATAGCAAGTTTAGTCTCGCGTTGGTGATTCATGGTATAGGTTATTATTGTGAATCAAAAAATCCCAAATGCATGAAAATAAACCTACCTGGTGATATGTGAGTGGTCCACAGAGTAACTTTCCGTGCTGCAAGTAATCTGAATTACGGTACCTTACGGTGAAATGTTTACAATTTCTCTCTGAACATTGAGTTTCCGTATGTACTATTATCATCATGACTTTTCTCCTGTTTCAAGTCTGTTTTTAGTTTTCCGTTTAAAACCTTGTAGCAACTACAATAATTTTAAAGTTAATTACAGTAATTATAATTAATTAATTACAGTAATTTTAAAGTTAACTTTTTAGAGCAGGGACGTACACGCTTTTGTAAAATCATAAATGTTATTTCTTCTTATCAATTATATTGTAACAACTGAAGCCTTTAGACTATTAATTTTCATTTTTCACAGTTTGTATGATTACATTTCATGACTGGGTAATGCAAATAGGTAATCAAGTTAGATGGTATTTTCAATCGAATCATATCACGTTAATTTACCGTGATTAGACAATATTATTTATATCCATAAGTATGTTTTTGAGCAACCTACTTCAGTAACTTCATTCTCCTTTTTTTTAAAGATTAGTTAATTGGTTGCTTGGTTAATACATTTATTAAATGGTTGATTAAATGTAGGTAAATTCTGTTATCATACATTTTATTCGAGGCATTGGAGCAGTTCTTAAGGCCACAGGGGGGGGTCCGAGGTCAATTTTGAGATTTTGAGATATGTTGTAGAGCTCGATCTAAATTTTCAAATGCTTTTGTCCTTACCGAAAACAAAGTTTCCTATTTGAAGATATCGCGCGTTGAATTTTGAGGTTTACCTGTAATTCTATTGTAAATGAAAACTTTAAATGCAATTGTGTTCAAAATCTATCTTCTTTTTTAGTTTATGACTTAGAACCTTGTAACTTGCCAACAATGTTCTTAAAGGTATTTTGAGTTTTTGTTATGTAACGATTTATGATATCTTGCTCCAAAGCTGAGATATGAGGTTAACCATGAGTGAGAATTACAAAATTTACAAAATTTAAAATGGTTAACCTCATAAAAAGAGTTAGGAGCAAAATTACAACAATCGTTACATAACAAACTTTTAAATTTATGTCAGGAACATAAGTTCCAAATTTGAGGTGAAATGGATAAAAGCTCTAGGAGAAGATAGGTTTTTGAGGTGGTAAATAAATTGTTCAGGAGAGTCAAAAGACCATGATTCTGAGAAAATATGTTAACCTCAATTTTCCAACAAATAAAGGACATATAATAGTTCTGTTCACATTGGATGGCCAATTGATACCCATTGATAAGTTTAACTTGTGACGAGAGCAACAAAATGTTAAGAACTGGTTATTTGTGAGGTTAACTGATTAAAAAGGCAATAGTTAACCTCAATTTTACGACAAACTAGGCGCTCTGGGGGGCTAAGGGTGGTGTGCAAGCGTCAGATAGTACGTGGTCTGCCAACTGGCAAAAAACTTTTTTTCGACCTCGGACCCCCCCCTGTGGCCTTAACTGTTTTTAATTGAGACTTTATATGTGCTAAGAAGTACTATACATCGAAATTCGAATGTTTTACGTAAAACTAATATAAGCTAAATTTTTAGCTTCGGTTGTCGAATCGGTCATGATTTGTAGTGTTGAGATATTGGGGCTGGTATCTTTTTTCATCGTAATTGAGCCTCAATTAAGAAAGGGTGCATTAGTTGTAGCTTATTATTTGATTATTGAAGATTGGAGTTATTTATTATCAAAAGTTACAGATGTATTTTTAATATTTATGATTTTATGATAGTGATGTTGCATAATGTTGTGAATATATGCCATTACCAGGGAAGGAAAGTTAATTAAGTAATATTGATTTTTTGTTTTGTGAAAAACCATCCTTTAATGCTAACTGCTGCTCCGAAGGTTTTCAATTTAACAACAGATCGATGCTACCTCATTGAATGTTAGCTAACTTTCCCTATCAGTTTTGTTATTCACTTCCCCCCCCCCTCCTCCTCCCCCTCCCCCTCTTTACCCTGTTTAGTGAGTGCCCCTCTATAATACACTTACTAAGGTATTATGACCGTGCACCCAATACTCAGGAAAATATCTGCCGTTATTTGGAAAAGGGATTAAGTTTAATTTGGAGATGTGGTGTTATCGGTATCAATATTTCCTGCTCATTCACGCAATCTAAATTTGAATTCGTGTACAAAGTCACATTTTGTCAGCCTTTCTAAGGCGTAATCTCTGTGATATTATTTGAAATTTAATTTAATTAGTTAGATAAGCCATATTATTAATCTCACATGTACAGACGTGAAACAGTTTCAAGAAATATTGGAAATTATTTTTAAATAAACCATTTTACGTTCCCTTTTTCAAATCTAACGGCAACCCAACCCTCCCACCCCAAACCTTCACCCCTTTTCCTGGCTCTGCTCCAAGGTTTTAAACGGAAAGAACTCAAGACTTGTTCAGGAGTGTTTCAAGCTCTGATTTTTGATTGGGCGGCTGCAATCCCGCATTCACGTGCCGAGGAAACAGCGGTAATAAATAAAGGACTGTTTAGCGCGTGTCTGGGAAATTGTTGCAGTATATTTAAATCTGACTTGCTTTCATGGCAAGGATTATCTAATCTTCTTTATAATTGTGTTTAACGTTTAAGTCCGCATTAATGTGACGTTTTAATTGTTTGTAACTTCGTTTTGAAAAGCGAAACCAAATATCAGCTGATTATCGACTTTCACAGCTCCTAGCACTGCTTACTATACTTTCTCACGAAGGCGGCGATGGTCGCTACACGTTGCTTATCTTTTTTTGTTTGTGCTTGCCGGCGCGCGCAAAAAGGACAAAGGAAATTCAATGTGTGTCAAGAAAAATGAGCACTAACAAATAATAATTAAATTTACCTAGCTCGCTGGCCTCTTTCTCGCTCCTCTCATTCATCATTGTGCATGAAGCTTGAAAATAGCGCCGCGCATAGTATTGGTGTTCCAGCATCCAGGTAATATTAATAGTTTAAAATCAGATAAGAGACAAAAGTGAAAAGTGAAACCAATGCAGGGGGGGGGGCAATGGCATAAATGGAGAAAATGGAGAATTACTCATGGGTTTTTCCATTTTCTCCAAAGAAATAGTCTCCATTTTATGCCATTTTATGCCATTGAAAACCTGAAAAATTTAGAATTTCGAGAAAAATTATTTAAAAAAAAGATATTTTCGGCCAATAATGAACAGGGTATCTTGAAACATGGAGAAAAGTGGTTTTCAGAAAAACTTTGAAAAATGTTGACTTAGAAAATGTTCGGTCCGAGTCATTTACGATACGTACCTCCCGTATCGAGAGCTCCCGATTCCGAGCTCGTGTTGCAATGGGGAGGCCTGCCTTCCGAGATCGCATTACCTCGAGTCCAAAATTGTGTATCGAGGGGAAGGTGTGGACTTCGAAAAACCGAAAAAATATTTTCGGGTAATAATGAAGAGGGAAGCATGAAACGTGGAGAAAAGCGGTTTTCAGAAAAAATTTGAAAAATTTTGACTTAGAAAATTACCCCTCGGTACACAATTTTGGACTCGAGGCTTCCCCTGGTAATGCGATCTCGGAAGGCAGGCCTCCCCTTTGCAACACGAGCTCGGAATCGGGAGCTCTCGATGCGAGAGGTACGTATCGAGAATGACTCGGGCCGAAAATTTTCTAAGTCAAAATTTTTCAAAGTTTTTCTAAAAACCACTTTTCTCCACCATCCACGTTTCATGCTATCCTCTTCATTATTAGCCGAAAATATTTTTTTGGTTTTTCGGGTCAACGAAGTCTGCACCTACCCCTCGATACACAAATTTGGATTCGAGGCTTCCCCCTGGTAATGCATCTCGGAAGGCAGGCCTCCCCTTTGCAGTGCGAGCTGGTTTCGACTTTCGAGGATGTAGGTCTCACTTCTCAGTGCCTATTACTCACTCCTGCTGTAGCCTGTAGAAATAACTTTACACTAGGCTTGAGTAATTATGAGTTTGCCTGAAGTGTGCCTCTACTAACCTAGTATAAGCATCTAGTAGCCTACTATGAGCTTTCATAAGCTTGTTACACCCCTAGTGCCTAGTAAGCGTAAATAAACATGTTAGGATGTCCAATTTAGGTGTTAAATGGTGTTAAAGATGAAATTTCGAAGACAAAATTCATGGCATAAAATGGAGAAAATGGAGAATTACTCATGGGTTTTTCCATTTTCTCCATAGAAAAAGTCTCCATTTTATGCCATTTTATGCCATTTTATGCCATTGGCCCCCCCCCAATGCACATATCACATATACTGTATACATACTCATAGGGCATATGCACTCCTGCGCGCAGTGTTGTGACCTCCCTTCGTCGTAATTAGCTCGTATTCAGATTGAACAATTTTGAAGTCAAATAAATGTTGTTTCTTTTAGATTTGAATAAACAATATGGATTTAGTCCGAAAGTAATTTGTCTACTAAATAACATTTTGAAATTATGAACAAAATTGGTAAAAATTTGCCATAGTTGTGACCAAAAAACTACGCGCAGAATTAGATATTTCTTCATAAACGCGTGAACATTTTTGAGTTTAACATTGAATATCTTAGCTCGGTTATTTTAATACTTAATTTTAAAGTATCTATCCGATAACTAAACATTTTATCTTTACGACAGTATAATTTTTTTTTGTATATTTGCTAAATTAAAAAAACAGTAGGAATAGGAACGTCGAAGGTCGATCTTGCGCTTATTTCAGTCCCAAAATATACCCTAATCATAAACTTCATAAAACCCACTGAAAATGATGTCTACAGGCATA